AAGGACTTTTCATTGAAAGTAAATCTCTTAATCTTGCTCCTTCTTAGCATGACAGATTTGTAACCAGTGTGGGATTTTTTATTTTACAAGTAGATAATGATCTCTGAACTTTTGCAATCTTATTGACCCAGTTCTTGTTATTTTAAATATAATCAAGGTCCTTCAAATATTTTCAATTTTTTTTTCTTTCCTCAGGCTAAAGTACTATGTCACGGGTAGATACTCAAAGTAGGACTTAAATTTTTAAAAATTTACAGTTCCAAAATGGGTCTTCCCACTTTAGAGTTTCATTGTTATTAGCTTTCTCGTTAGTATTGTTCATTATTATTCTCTTCATTTCATCACATTCCAAAGGTAAGCTTTTTACAAATCATTGGTTATGCATGGATAAGTAAGCATTTATAGATCAGTTCACGGCTTTGTACCTTGAAGTATTTATATGAAAACTTTTGTATATACAATGCTTACGTTTTCTATATATAAAGGTCAATTTGTTCCCTTTTAAATGGACCTTAATATAAATTTAGAGTTTCCTTTATTTAGAGTTACCTTAAATAAAGTTATCTTAAAAATGTAGAATTACCTTATTATAATTCAAAATCAAACCATCATGCTTATTGCCATCCTTTTTTGTTCACAGATGAGGAAATGGATATACAGCTATAATTAAGTTTAAAAAAAAAAACTTACCCAATTTTACACATGTTTATCCCTCTTTTCTGATAACTGTAATAGCCATGTGTGGTATTGTATTCCCCCAAATATTGTGCATGCTAATATACTTATCTGGGGTCAGAGACAGAGCAGCCACAATGTTAAACATAAAGGATAGGCAGTGGTAGCACACGCCTTTAATCCTAGCATTCCAGAGGCAGAAATCCATGTGTTCAAGGATACAGACAGGCATGGGTGACTCAACATGCCTTTAATCCCAGAAAGCAAGCCTTTTATCCCAGGGAGTGGTGGTAGAAAGCAGAAAGGTATATAAGGCGTGAGGACCAGAGACTAGAAGCATTTGGCTGGTTAAGCATTCAGGCTTTTGAGCAGCAATTCAGCTGAGACCCATTCTGAATGAGGACTCAGAGGCCTCCAGTTTGAGGAGACAAGACCAACTGAGGATCCGGCGAGGCGAGGTAGCTGTGGCTTGTTCTGTCTCTCTGATCTATCAGCATTGACCCCAATAACTGGCCTCAGGTTTGATTTTATTAATAAGAACTTTTTAAGATTCATGCTACAGCCATGTTTTTTCTTCCATGTCCCATCACATTCAGATACATCAGAAGAATGAAATAACTAAGCCAGATAGCATTTTCATCTTATATAAATCATAGTCTATGCAGAAGACAATATGGATATTATTTTAATAATGCGATAGAAAATGCATTAAGAAAATATACATGATCATTCTTAATTATTTTATTAATTAAGACATTAACCTAATAAATATGCATCATCTTAAAGCAGTTGTATAATAAATAGGAAGTGTATAAAAAGTAGTGGTGGTATTAAAGGGTGTATTATTTTGAAAATTAATGCAGTATTTACTTTGCCAAGGTTATCTGTAGTTGTTTTCCTGAGATGAATGTTTATTCATATTACTATTCTCTTACTTCAATACATCAACTTGATGCATTTGATGATTTTTATCATCTGTACAAAATGAACCATAAGCATTGCAGCAGGTATCACAAGCATGTCAATAAAATAATATATCCTGAGGAATATATTTGACAGTCCATTAGTTAATACACACACACAAAAAGCCTGTAAATAGGTATTTGATATATAGGTTAAGCATAACACTAAAAAAGGATCAGTTCTAAAGTGAAAAACAAAATGAATTTCAGAGTGAATTTTTAAAATTTGTATTAAAAATAGATTCTTCTCCTATACAACACATCTCGACCACAGTTTCTCCTCCCTCCACACCTCTGAGCTCCCCTCAACCCATCACCCCTCTGGACAGTGTATCTCTGATTCTTTTGCTACATTAGTAACTCTTTTTCTGCTATCGAGTTTCCTGGTCCCAGTGGATTTTATCTGTGATAATAACCCTAACAAGAAAGAAAATGTAAACAATTTTTGAAGGAACAGTTTTATACTTCTTATTAAATTCATGATCAACAAGTCATAGATTGATTTCTTTCTCTGTATTTAGGTTCTCTTGAAGCTAGTCTGAAAAAAAATCACATATCATTAATAGAGCAATTCAGTTGTTGAAGTTTGCTAAACTATTGAAAATGGAGAAAGGTCTGGTTTGCAAAGGATACAATATATTCAACTTACTTGTTTGGCCACACTTCAACTAGTGATTTTTTTTTCTTTTTGGAGAGCCAAGAGTTTGAATCAATATACAGTATCAATATATGATAGAGCATCATATAGAGTTCAATAGAAATGTCAGGATACAGAAAAAACTTAGTAGTCAACAGAACAGAGATAATATTCATATCTGGGAAGCTACTGGACAAGGCAAGTAGTAATTCAGAATTATTTAGGCAAAGAAGACATACAATAAGTTTGTGATTCAAAGAACTTCATGTAAAGGATTGAAGGATTTTTAGATATGAAAAGAGAAGGTTTGAGGAGGAATTAATCAATCCTTAGGAGTTAAATAAAAAGTCTTCACTGACTTGAAAATTGAGGTGGTGTATAAGCATTCATTGGTGAGAAGAGCAAAAGATATTTTGTATTATTTTCAAATTAGGGAAGAGCATTGTATAAGAGAAATGTGTGAGAGAGTGAGCTTTAACTTTAAATATGCAGGAATATTAAAACAACATGTTACACTGCTAAAAAAATTTTGAAGATGGAATAATTGTTGCACATGAGGACTGCCATGACAACATTCCTTGATCATTCTAAATGGACTAGGAGTCAATTCAGAAACAAATGATAGGTATTAGGGTGAATGCATACATGTGTACAGGAGCTATAGCTTTCTCAGCATATTTTAAGGCATTTTTATCCCACATAATTAGATTCTCTATGATAGTTAATGTTTGTTTGTTGTTCATGGTCAGGAATTTAAAGTAAGAGAAATAATCGGGAATTACATTCTCTTTAGGGGTATATTAGGTGCTTTCTGTGACCCAAAGCAGCTGGAATTTCAGTTATTCACTATTATTTCTACAGGTATTCATAAATCTATCTACAAGGAATAATTTTAATAACAAAAGCTGTGTCATAATGTTAAAAAAAGTCCCACGCTGTAGAGTTATCTAACACAGATAAATAAAGAGGGAACACTCATAACAAAATAAAATAACTGGAACTGAAAATAATTTAGGCTATTTATATGATATGAAACCATAGGGGTATGTCTTTTATTTTTACTGCATTATTTTAATATATTCATTTAGTGAGATCATGGCACTGTAGATTTATTCATACAAACAACTAAAGTAATCATAGCTGAGTTAAACATTGGAGCCCATTATCTGACTGTGACATCTGTAGAAATTATTTTGTGCCTACATAGAACAATATAATAAATGTGATGTTGAAAACAATGGCTGAATATATCTTAACACTGATCTCAAAATATTATGTGAATAAGCTCAGAGTCACTTTTAAATCATTAGCTCAGATTATCGATGAACCCATTTTCCTTTTTAAATTAATAGAAACTCATGCAGTAAAATCATTAAAAATCTGATATTTTAAGTAACATCCTTTCCTGTCATTCTGTGTCTTCTGCAATTATTTGTCCCTAGTGTTCAAGAAACAAATGTGTACTTTACACATATTGTTTTTCAAAGACCCATCTTTTATGGATATTTGGTAGATAATTTTTGAACACACAAATGATAAAAATTCAACCTCAGGGCTTACGGGTTGTCTTCAGTTTGATGGATGATATTAAATATTCAGCAATAAATGTTTATATTTGAAGACTATCTAATTTTTACTTGCTTGTAAAAAAAAACATGAACTGAAATAATTTAGACCCTTTAGAAGTTATGCAGTCTTAATTTAAAAAGTCATAAGATTGTTTTGTATGTGTGTTTAATTTATATAAATTACCTAAGCAAAATAATGGCTCTAAAACTGCACTTGATAGCGCAACTCTTTCTACACAGTTAGTTCTAACTTTTTCAATTGTTACAGAGCTAATAACTGCTAACCAGCCTTTACACACTCTGGAAGGAAAACAAAGATAACATGCTTGTGTGGCTGTAAGATCAGCTTATGGCTTAGATCACCACAAAGAATGATTCAACTTCAAATTGTAATTTTATTTTAATTTGGGCTTACATTTTGATCTAGCATTCAAATTCACTTAGTAACAAGACTATGCCACTTATAGTTATAATCACCTAGTGTTCCCATAAAATTTGAATGTTAAAAATCAGAAAAAGAGCCAGGCTTGTGTGACCCTCTCTACTGCTCCCATAAAAATTAAAGGATGTGATTGTGTCTGAGCCCCTTTGAAGGTTTGGGCAAAAGAACAGTGGAATATTTAATGAGACTTAGAAACACAGAACAGCTGGATTCAGACTCCAGGGCATGTTGTAAGCATATTTGATGTGACTTCTGTGAAAAAGAGTGATGTAGAATATTCACTTAACTGTTACCAAATAACCAATGAAAGACACTTAATAATGCTGACACCTCATTACCATAAGGCATAAATAGTAGCCTTAGTATTTCCAGTTATAAAATACAAAGGCCTGCAAATGCTCAATAAATTTATAGAATGATATAGTTTTAATTTAAAGTCATGTGTGTATTTTTTTTTATTAAGTGTGAGATGGCACTTTAAGAAACTAAAGGTGTCCATACAGTGGAAAGGACACAACTCCATTTTTTCTTCAAAGATATTCATCTCAGCATTGAATGGAGAAATTCAAACAGCTGGGACTGAAAAGAGGAATGTAATTGGCCTGTTTAGAAAAAGTCTACAAGGGTAACAGTGACTAGATTCAGCATGCGACTGCCATCGTGATGAATGTTTACACCACTTTCTTGAGAGCCAATTACACTGTTTTTTTGTACAGGGACTGGAGATCAGCCAGATCAGTGGTGTACACAAAGCTGCTTTGGATCTGTCTTTTCAAAGAAGAACTCCACAAAATGCAACAGCAAGGTTGAAGCATTATTCCATTCTGGTAAGAGATGCTTTCTGTTTCTTTGCTATGGTGAGAGTTAGATAAGAAATCGTTTCAGACCATAGCATGGTCAGACAGGAAGCAGCTGCTTTGAGATACAAGCTATAAAATGTTTTTTGCTTTGAGATTTTTTTTTCATGATGCTTTTTGCCTTATGTTGTAGCAAGATAAACAGTAACACTAAGTTCTGCTGTCCGTGTTTAAACTTGTATAGGAAGTATGGGAGTCTAGAACTACCTGGCATTGAATGACTGTGAGGTTATATGATGTTTAATATTATAACTCTGGTTGAGATGAAGGCTATTGAAACCATAGTGAGTTAATCCATGTGCTTAAGTCTTCTTCAGTCCAATAATGTAATGAATGGCCACCCACTCACCACCACTAAGTACACCTTGGGGATTATTGACAGACATTCTAACTTCCTTTCATTTTCAGAATTGGAAAGCTGTAGGTAAGAACGCTGAGTGAATTGGTTTATATATGGATTTTCCTTTTATCACTAAACAATACAAAGGTGCATAAATGTGTAACGTGTGTGGCTTTGTTGTTCTTATCTTTAGGCTGTACTGCTCTTCAATAAGTATACAAAAGCTCTACATGTCAACAGCTCTCCATGAATTCATGTGTCTAAACTCCTAAGAAAAAAATTAATATCTATCTATATGTACATGTGTCTAAATCTACATATATACATGTCTCTCTATATACATATGTGTGCGTGCCTGTGCCCATCCAGGCAAATGTGTTTATGGAAGTAAAATTCATAAGTAAGTGTATAAGTAGAATTGTATATGACCTTCTGAACTTAATTACAAAATTAATTGTAAATAATGGCCATTTTATGTGCTATAACAGTGTAAATCCACAAGGTTTTATGACTTTCAGGTTTTACTTTTGTAGCTTCATTATCTTAGTAAGCATTAATTTCATAAAACAATGTTGTAACTATCAAAAGAATCTTTCCAACCTAAGAGTTTCATTTGAAGATAATTCTGATCTTTCAAATGAAAAAATCTTGAATGAGGCAATTTTACTGAGTTCTGCTACTAAATTGCACCCTTATTTGTGTGCCTATCAGGTGTGAATATAACCCTTTGGGGGTTTATACACAGCTTCAAAAGGATAATTAATTAGCAAAAATTTGTATGTCTCTACTAAATGCTCATATTCCCTCTATCTTTTAAATTTTTTTAGGACCCATTTACCTTGATCATTATTTTAGAAATGAAAATTCTTAAATTTTAATTAAAATGAATGTAAAAGTTTTGTGCAAATTTAATGAACATTTAGCAAATAGGCTTGAAAATTATTCCATTGAAGTGAGGGTTTGACTAAGGACAGACAGCAAAGAGTACTTTGAGCAATGGAGACTCCAAGGGGATGCTGGGTGAAAGGAGAAGTGAATTCTCTAATTTAACAAATGGATCTTTTCTTCAACTCATGTGTGGTGGTATTGTGTTCCCCAAATATTGTCCACGCTTATAAACTTACTGGGGTCAGAGAATGGAACAGCCACAATATTAAACATAGAGGATAGGCAGTGGTAGCACATGTCTTTAATCCAAGCATTCCAGAGGCAGAGATCTACCTGCATCTCTGTGTGTTCAAGGATACAGCCAAGTATGGTGACTCACGCCTTTAATCTCAGAAAGTGAACCTTTAATCCCAGGGAGTGATGGCAGAAAGCAGAAAGGTATATAAGGCGTGAACACCAGAAACTAGAAGCTTTTAGCTGGTTAAGCTTTTAGGCTTTGAGCAGGACAGTTCAGCTGAGATTCATTTGGGTAAGGACTCAGAGGCTTCCAGTCTGAGGAAACAAGATCAGCTGAGAAGTTTACTGTGGGATGTTCTGTATGGCAAATGTGTTGCTGATTAGTCAATAAATAAAACACTGATTGGCCATTGGCTAGGCAGGAAGTATAGGCGGGACAAGGAGTAGAATAAAGCTGGGAAGTGGAAGGCTGAGTCAGAGAGACACTGCCAGCCGCCATGATGACAAACAGCATGTGAAGATGCTGGTAAGCCACGAGCCATGTGGCAAGGTATAGATTAATGGCAATGGATTAATTTAAGCTATAAGAACAGTTAGCAAGAAGCCTGCCACGGCCATACAGTTTGAAACCAATATAAGTCTCTGTGTTTACTTGGTCGGGTTCGAGCGGCTGTGGGACTGGCAGGTGAGAGAGATTTGTCCTGACTGTGGGCCAGGCAGGAAAACTCTAGCTACAGAAGTTGGCCAGGTGAGGTTAGCTGTGGCTTGTTCTGTCCCTCTGATCTTCCAGTGTTCACCCCAATACCTGGCCCCAGATTTGATTTTATTAATAAGAACTTTTAAGATTCTGCTACACTCATGAGCTTACATAGTTTCATCAAGGCCATCTCTCTTTCTTCCCTACCATTTCTATCATTCACATACATGATCACACTAAAAGCCATGAAGCTATTGACAACTGTTAGCTGCCCTAAGAGTGTACACCCTGTTAAGTCAACCACACTCCAAAGAAAGACTTCACATCTAAGATTATTTGGAGACCAAAACTTTGTACTGAAGGATTAAAACAAGAAAAGGATAGGGTTGAGTGGGTACTGAAAAGGGCTGAATCAGAGTTGGAAAGGGAGGGGGAATTAAGTATAATCAAAATCTGTTAGACAAAATTTGCATAGAACTAACCAAAATTAATGTACATGTATTGAATACAACACATTTTTTGTACTTTTGGTATGTATGTTATATGGAAAGTAGCCCACAAGAAATAACTCTGCTCTGGATTAAATTTTAATATAAAGGGGCCTAAAATTATCATTAGCTGCATTATCACCTGTCCAAATTATAAAACTCAATATTAAGAATTGCTTTAACATTCCATGTTTCTAATATCTCAATAACATGCAACAAGAATAAAAAGTATTAACTTAAGGTACTACCTTTCCCACATATGACATTATGCTTATATAAAAAATAAATCTTACCAGGATAGTCATATTTTTTTCACCCTCTTTGCCTTTAGAAACAGCAATTGTTAGATCACAATGCACACATACATGCATGCAGATGTGCACACACATGTATACACATTCATGCACACAGGGTACTCACACTGAATTACAGAAGAGAGCAGAGATGGGCTAGCATACCAACTGAGTCACATTAGGAATCTGTTGCTGTGGATTCTCCCAGAACTTTATACTTTCATACCTTGACAAGAAGACCATAATACTGAAGACATCACACACTTAAGAGAGAGATTACTAAAAAGTCAAGTTGATACTGAAAAACTCCATCTTGGCTGCCTAGCTTCCATAGTGCTGGAAGGTGCCTGACATGCTAACAGAGGGTAAATGCAATCTTCAGTCTTACAAATCTCTGAACTGTAAGAGCTACAGAAATGACCAGGCTGGAAAGAAATGTTCTTTGGTGCAATACTGGCACAAACATCATGGGAATAACAAACTATTGCTTGTTATATTTCAAACCTGCTCTTTAAGAGAAAACCCATACCTGCTACTTCATCCTCTCTCTGTCTCCCAAGAGCTATCAATAGCTCTTCAGCAAGGTGTGTGATATTTGTGCACATCACCCTTCTCCATGTTAGAATATTTTTTTCTGGACTGAACTTGTACAGGTCTTGTGCATACTGCCACACCTGCTGATGTTCCTATGTCTATCTACCATGCTGCCATCTGTAAAACATCATGTCTTTGTATTTTCCAACCACATTTGGCCCTTAAAATCTTATGGTATTTGTCCACAGTGATCCTTGAAGTTTGTGAGAATAGTGGAAGATTTTATAAACAATGTTAATTCTTTCCTTCCTTATCAGGCTTTTTGGCTAGGTTTATGTCAGCATGACACTGATACATTGAGAGTTATACTCACAGATTGGTTGATGTTTGTGTATGTGTATGTGTGTTTGTGTGTGTGTGTGTGTGTGTTAATAGGCTTCTGTAGTACCAGATTTCCATATGATTGTTTTTCAAAGTTCTTTTATGTTTTTTACCCATTTCTGTATTCCATCCATAATCTTTCCATCCATAAACCTAATTTAAACCTCCCTTTTCCATTATTTCCCTTTGACCTTTTGTAAACATACCTGAAGCTATAACTGAACCCAAACAGGTTAAGAGAAGAAGAGAGTGAGAGAGAGAGAGAGAGAGAGAGAGAGAGAGAGAGAGAGAGAGAGAGAGAGAGAATATGAAATTCAGGAAGAGACTGCATAAGCATGAAAATTTCTAAGAAAGTGTTAATAATTCATTTAAAAATTAGTGAGATGTGAGTGACAATATTTGGAAAGTTTTACATGGAATATTTATTGATATTTAGTATTCAATATAAAGAGAACTATGCTCATTTTTAGATTAATACATAAATATGAAAATCTATTTTTTAATTAAATTTGAAAAGTACATTTTCAAGAATGGGGTTTTGGTAACTTGGTTCTGTCCTAGCTAGTCACAGGATGTCTGTGTTTATAATTTGATTTAAAGAGACTAAATAGTCTAGGTGAATATTAACAAGTTCATAAGTAAACAATTTATTGTTCATTCAAAGCATAATTTGCCAGATTATTCTGAACAGTAATTACTATCTCATAATTACTCTGTTCTAATATTATGTTCATTGTCTATAATATGATATTTTCAATAATTAAGTTGTTTCAGTATTGCTTGTACTACCAAATTCATGTGCTAATGTTACCAATTCCCATATATACTCACCGTGGTGAACAGATGCTAACAAAAGCTAAACCATTTTCATTGCACTAAAACTATTATATTCAGAGATAGTTATAGAGATGATAAATTTCAGTGTTATGATGATGAAGTGGATAAACAGGATAGATATATAGTCAGATGTTAGAAAGATGGACAGATGACAGATAGATATGGATAGATATAAATATAGATATATAGATATAGATAGATATAAGTAGATCTGTAATGTCACTGGTTTGAAAATTCCATCTATAATATGATACTATACTTAATTTTTGTATCCA